AATGAAGGGCCGTGGTGGAGTCAGGAGGGTCAACAATTGGGGTGGAACGGAGGGAAGAGGGAGACGGCGGAGGTGGGTGGGTGGGGGTGGTTTGTTCAGGAATAAAATGACAGAACATCGAATGGAAGAGAGTCTGTTGAGAGGAAGATGAGGAGGAGGACAGCAGACAAGGCAGAGACAAGTTTTCGGCATAGTGCCGTAAACTCGATGACAACCAGGCAGGTGTAGAGGGGAACAGTCTAGAACACAGGATGGGGCAGATCTCGAGTAACTGAACACATTGAGGGTTGTCTATGGAAGGAGAGGGACTAAAACGGAGGTCTACTATTTAAAACAAGGTATGTCATCTTGAGACAGGGGGGCTAATCTACAACGCCACGTTTTACACTACCATTATTCCAAAAGCCAGGGAAGAACAGATTGGGAATGTTTTAAAAATGTTTAAGTGAAGAGATAAAAGGCAGCTGAGGTAACCTTAAATCAAAGAGTCAAGGAAAGGATCCAAGATATGATACAGTATATAAGGGAGACACTAAAGCAAAATATATAAAAACTCACCAAGGAATAGATTATACTAGATAAGTACACCATTGTTAAAGCTCGAGAAAAGTTGATTTAACGCAGAAAAAAAGAAAGGATTATTGAAAAAAAAACATTGGGTTGTATAGCACATTTAAAGAACTTTGGAGGACACAGAAAGAAGTCTTTAATAAGGAAATTATTATTTCTAGGACAGGTTTAGGAAAAGGGGGTAGATGGAGAAAAGAATTCCAAGCCAGAGTTCGCACTACAGGGGCTAAAACGTCGAGGGAAAGAAAAGCTAAGCAAAATATATGGGTCTCAAGATAATATCACGGGAAAAGGGACTTTCTGACTTCAAACGAGACAGGGAAGAAATATCTACTGCCACGAAATTCAAGTATTTCTCTATATTCTAGCAGAGGCGGTATGTTTATATTTCAGTTCAACATAGATGATAAGAATAAGTTCTACGAGCCTAATTCTTAGGCGTCATCCACGACGGGCATACACAAATTTCCTGTCAAAACTGAACCTCAATGAGAAAAAAAAGAAGAAAAGAAAACGCGTTTACGTCAACAGGACAAGTAATACGCGATAAGCCTAGGGTGTTAGTCCAAACATCGAGTAGATCTATAACAATCTTGTGTTGAGTCTTCTCTACAGCGTTTTTAGTCATTTTCTAAAACTTATTCGTAAGCAGCTAGGCAGTGGGAGAAGTGAATTTGAACAATCCAACTCTCCTCGCCGCAATCGTTGTTTAGTAACAGCTTCCCAACCATTCAGGGAAGGAAGAAGCATGTCAGTACACGTCACATGCTACAAGTATACACTGAGGTCATGCCACCATGCTGTCCTGAGAGACACAGATACACTCGTTACCAAAATGTTATTAGGGCACACTCAGTAAGACAGGCAGACAGGCAACGGAGTGCCGACACACAAATAGACACACAAACAAACAGACCTACATTTAGGGGCTGTATTCGTTACATGCTGACATATAACGGATCAGAGCACTTCAAAACAGATGGACAGCAGAGTGAAGAGAAAAAAGGGGTGGTGTACTGAGGGAAATGGGAGACATCTAATCTGGGAGGGAGGTTAGGGTTGAGGTTGGATTCAGGTGGCAAAGGACCAAGGGAGAGTATGCAAATATCGAAAAATATGTCCATCCTTCATTACTTAATATGTTCGCACATGCCAACAAAGTTTACACTATATTTCTTAGCACAGTCCACGGGAGACATAAGCATGCAAGGGAAAGCGCGCAAACATGCACTGACGAGAGATGGGAAACGCACGCATGTCGCAGACAGAATGTCGAACACACAAACAAACATACACACACGCGTGCGCACACATACAAAACGGATACAGCTTGATGCGCACACCATACCAACAATATCATCCAACAATGAACATCTGAGCATTCAAACTTCTCCAATTCAAAAATTACCATTTACATTTTAAAGTTTATTCTATCATTGCTTGTGATATCTAAATGTTCAGGCACAAAGCACAGCAATCGCGCTTATACAAGCAGCTTGCAATTTTGCCACACACACACACACACACACACACACACACACACACACACACACACACACAAACACACACACACACACACGTGTGCGCGCGTGCGAGCACAAACACACACACACACACACACTTAAATACACTCAGTGTCACACAAACGCACACAGACACAGACACAAATACACTCACAAGCATACACACTCACAATCAAGGGCGCACGCGCACGCACACATACGCACACACACACACACACACACACACACACACACACACACACACACCACACACGACAACCCCAGAACAACAAACGAACAACGTAGAAACAAACAAAACGACTGTGGTGGATACAAATTAATCTACCCTCATGTCTGCACCTGAACATCGTTCACTACAGTCAAAAAAGTCTGGTCAGGTAAATATTCAAATTCAGAACACAAGACATTCATTCAGTTGGAACTAACCATAACCATGACTAACTGAATAACTAACAAACCACATGATCTATCAATGCACTTGTCTTCAACACCTATTGCACAAAAAAGCAGCGCTGCCAGCAGCACGCAGGCGTATTACGACTTTGTAGCATCGCTGCGCTCACACACACAAAACATCACGCCGCGCGCGATCAGTCATGGGGCAATTAATGACAAGGCACCTTCTTGTCACTGTGGCAAGAAGTTATCGCTATGCAGTTCGCATACATCACACATCTTTTCTACTACAATACGTTCTTGTTTTTGTTTTACTAGGAGTTTTACGGCGCTCGCAGCTGCATCATATGGCCGTATGAGCGCGCACTACACGTACTCAGGAAGGACAAAACCATATGTCCAACAAAAAACATCAATTGCTTACAAAACAATAAGAGGTGGAAGAGGGGTCCTATAGTAATAGTATCCATGAGGGGTTTCGGGGGTG